GGTAGGGGGTCACCAAGAGAAGAACAGAAAAGCTGGGGATAAAGATCTAGGCATCTCGCACATCACAAGTTGGTTAGATATCCGTGTGCAACATGTGTCTTTGAACCAGCATGTGAATTGGTTATAATGAGTCTGGAGAGCTGAAAATGGTTTATTTTTTGAGAATACCAAGACGTGGAGACTTAGCTCGTAAGTGCCCAATTGTGGGCCTGTTGGCTTAATTGCTTGCTCTTTGGGTTATGCTGTGATGCCTTGGTATCTTAATGAGATCCCAAGATCATTAACAAGGTGACTCTACTTAATTTATCCATATTTCAAGTCTTCCCAAGGAACCAGTATGAAACAGGTTTTGCATGTACCTTCTTCTTTCTCTTGGCTTGTTGTGAGGGTTTCTGCTTATGCATTTCTTAAAGTTGCTTCTCCCCATCAGTTTTCCTGTTCTTTTGCTACGTATGAAGACAAGCCATGCTTTGGTGCACAGCATTTAAAACCTTAGTTTTACTTCATAATCCTGTTACTTGCTGTTAAGTGCCATCCAATTGGTTCTGACTCAGTGATCCTGTGTAGGGTTTCTGAGAAGCAGCTAGTGTATTTGAACTGCCAGCCTTGGGTTTAAACCCATTGTGTGGTCAACTGCATTATTGATTTTGTAAATATATCTTCTTTTACTCCTGTGGGATTTGGAAGTGGCAAGGAAGCATGGTGTTTGAAGGCTCTGAAGTGGCCCCTTCCAAGATTGTGACCTCAAGCAGATTGGTCATACTTTTAAGCTCTCCTTATCTGCAGTATGTGTTTAATATCAGTGTCCACTGGATATCAGTCTGTATTTGAAGAGCTTAGATCACATGGTAAACATCCAACAAACCTTCATTTGTATTATTGTATCTGCTAGTATTCTTAAGCATAACGGTCTATTCAGCAAATGAAATCTTGGTGGTCATAAAAGCAGAAAGTAGGCTCTGTAGCTATCAACTTCCACTTCTTTTAACTCTCTCCTTCAGAGCCCACACTGAGCTACTATCACAAATCCATCTAAATATTTTACAGTAAATCCAGATACATTGTTTTAAAGTTTTTATTGTGAATTGAGGGAAAGTTTACAGGGCAAATCATCAGTTTTACATTCAACAAATCATATACTTTGTTTCATTACAATGATTATAATCCCCTCCTTGTACCATCAGTTAACAGTATTTCTCTCTACTCATTTTAGCTTTTTTTTTTTTTTTACACTCAGGCATATATAATAATTTATATACCACCAAAGGGCACATTCTGCAAGTCTGCCTCCTGGCCATCAGCTCTCAGTCCCTCTTTTTCCATGAATCCAGGGTCCTCAGCTGCACCCTCTCTCCATGTTTCTATCTCTGGCATCGCTGCTTCTCTAGATAAGGTCCTGCATTCTACTTGTACTCTTCTCCCTTGATGGTCAGATACATTTTTGAAAGGTAGTGCTCTATGAATATCTTCTCTTATAAGCAAACACAGTCTATATAATTTTCAGTGATTGAGATTTGCCTTAAGGGTTTCTGTTATGACTTTATATACACTTTAGGCCCAGACTACCAAGAAGAATTAAGAAAACATGAGTTACAAAGGGAGTAAGATGCTAACCTATATGAATTGCTGATTATGTGCCAGTCATTGCGCTAAACATTTTTTATGGATCAATTAACTTAGTTTACAAATGATTCTGTGCTTATTATCTCATTTGATGGTATAAGATTATAGTAGAGGAAATCCAATCACATATTTTATTTCTGCCACTCTTTGTGGAAATTTGCCATACTGTGTATTGATTCTGCTTCAAGTGTGATGGGAGATTTGTCATCTCAAAAGATCATAAGCTCTTGGAAGCAGGTGCGATGCTCGGACGTGGTTTAACAACCCCTCCGAGCAATTCATTTCAGCTCTCTGCATCTAGCAAACACTTAAATAAAGGCATGCCGAAGGAATGCTTAGAAGAGAAGATCCTTTCAGATGTTCTAAAAGTCACTATGTAAGACATACTTCTAAAATGAGTAGAGGAAGGATTAAGGATCAAAAGCAAAAGCAGGCAAGCCTTGATTTAATCACTTGCATATTTATTTTCCTAGAATGCTGCTTTTTTTTAAGCTTTCCACTTCTTCCAGCACAGTATAGGTGTTGACAGAACCCTGGTTTTCATCTGTGATAAGTCAACCTGTAAACAAAGCTTGAAAAAAACAAAACAAAAACCAATGCTGGCTTTGGAATTTTTTTTTTTCTTAATGGTATGAGTTGAGAATTCAAGGTGGTTTATATAACATCGAGGAGTCCTGGTGGCATAGTAGGTAAGCACTCAACTGCTAACTAAAATGTTAGCCGGTATATTTTAAACCCACTAGTGTCCTGGTGTGGTGCTGTGGGTTAATATGTAGACTGCTTAGTTGGTTTGAACTGCAAAGTCAGCAGTTCAAGCTCACCAGTCCCTCCTCAGAAACCCTATACAGGGTTGCTAAGGGTCAGAACCAACTCGATGGCTCTTCACAACAACAGTTAACTCTATAGGACAGAGATGTGGTAGCTTATTTCCATAAGGAGTACAGCCTTGGAAACCCTGTGGGGCAGTTCTACATAATTGACTTAACATTTTGGCTTTTGGATTATATTGCATCTTCACGATGCTTCTGCATGATACACAGATCCTTAGGATCATTTCCTTCCTGCTTTCTTTACAACAGTAGTCACTTCGTGGTTAGCAAACCCTGGAATGTCTGTTTGCAAATTTGATATTTTAAAAAGACCTTGATTGTGCCCCCCTCTCTTTTAAAGTCAAAGTCCGTATCTTCTTGTTGGTGTTAATTGTTTATATTGTGTTTTCCTAAGTGTTAGACACTAACCTCATTAGATTCCCCTCAAGAGTGGAAATATGTTTGGAATAGGCTCCATGAAATAGACGTTTAAGAGTTTCACATTTAGAATAATAAAAGGTATGAGAAGCTCTGAAGTAAAGAAACATTACATTTTACCTAATCAGTTCTGACTTTGGAAACACCCACCCCCATACCCTAGGATGATGCTTTAAAGATCTAACAACCAGTCTAGAGGCATACCTCATTTTACTGTCCTTATACCTCACCTTTAAGGAGCTCTGTTAGCGTAGTGGTTACGAATTGGGTTGCGAACCGCAAGGTCAGCAGTTTGAAACTACCAGCTGCTCTGTGGAGTTGGTTCCAACCCACAGCAACCCTGTATAGAATTTTCAAGGAGCAACTAGTGAGCTTGACTCATGGAGCTTACGGTTCAAACTAACTTTGCAGTCCAATGCATTAACCTGCAAAACCACACTGGGAGTCCTGCTTCTTCCTAGAAACCTTGAATATTATACCCTAATCTCCTGTGACTTTTAATGCCATCTAAACCTTTTAAAGTAGTTACCATGTGCTGATTTACATCAGTATTTTAGGAAAGATTATCTTGAATCCCTAGCAATAACAAAGTCTTCATTCAAGAACCACAGTTTATGACCTGTATGTATTTACAACTTTCCTTAGTATCAGCAAAGAATTTAAATAATTACATTACTGTGGGATGTGTTTTTTTTTTTGTTGTTTTTTTTTTTATAATTGGACTAAGTTTATTTTCTAAGCCTTATACTTCACATCTCCATCATTTCATTTAACACATATTTGTTGATGTCTTTTTCTTTTTCTATCGAAATTGTTGGAGTCTTGAAATTAGGAGTTTTTCAAAGTGATAGCTTCTTGTTAGTAGGGATTATGTGTTGGGTACCAGCATTTAGCACTGCCTGGTACATTTTAGGAGCTGTATAAATATGAATGAATGAATGAATGTCTTAAAGTGGTGCTGTAGGGTCAGCACTGGATGGCTAACTGCAAGGCCAGCAGTTCAATCCCACTAGCTGCTCCTCGGAAACCCTATTGAGTCGCTATGAATTGGAATTGATTCAACAACTAACTCTTAAAAAAACAACAACATGAGGAAGAAAAAAGTGGAAATTTTATCTCTGTCCTGTGCATCTTTAAAAATCCAGCATTAGTGCAATGGAAGAAATACCTGGCTAAGGCTGTTATTGTTGTTGTTGGTAAGTGGCGTTGAGTCAATTCCCACCCATAGCAACCCTGTATAGGGTTTCCAAGGAGCAGCTGGTGAGCTTGAACCCCCAACCTTGCAGTTCAAACGACTTTGCAGTCTGACGCATTAGCCCACAGCGCCACACATAGCTGAATCCAAATTCCAGAGGCTTGCTTATGAGCTGTGTGATTCTGAATGGGTCACTTAATATCTCTCATCCTCGTTATCAAATACAGATAATATTCCCTATGGCACATGGTTGTAATGATGATCTAATAAGATAATGACTCTGCAATACATATCAGGCCTTCATAAAGAAAGTGATTAAAACCTATTTATTCAGTTATTGACCGGCAGCTAGAGAAAGAGGGAAAAGTCTACCAAGAATGATAAAGACAATGCCAAGAAATAATGTCCTTATAACTCTAGATTGCTTAATATTGGAAAAAACCACCGAGTAAGATTGTGAAATTTCACAATTTTCTTACTTTTAAGTAATTGAAAAAGGCAGAATGACCTTTGAAGGGACTGACCTACCATATATTCTGTGACTCCTTCAAGAACACACAATTTTGAATAAATCAGGAGAATCTTCTTTTTTTACTGCGGAAAAGCGAAAGTTTGAAATGTCAAATCAAAACTGGTCCAATCCACGGCATAGTTTCATCTCTTTATGTTTTAAAATGAGCTACATTTTTTATGCAATGTGCATATATTAAGGAACAGTGGAAAGATGGAGTTTTAATTTTTACCAATTCAATTTAAATGCAAATGTTAACCACTCACATGATGCTACTGTGTACATAATTAAGCATCATTATATACTACATGAGTCATTCAGAAATCTCCAGAGAGCCATTCTACTATGTAAAACATGCATTATCCTGACACGCAGCCAAATGACGTATACTTCTGTCCTCATTAATGCTCTTTTTGAATTATAGGTCAACTGATTATGGGACAACCTATGAGAAGCTAAATGATAAAGTTGGGTTGAAGACAATTCTGAGCTATCTGTACGTGTGTCCTACCAACAAGCAGAAGGTAAGAAATATATATTCAGTGTACCACTTGTTTATGATGTTACTTCAGTCGTGGTTGGCTAAATCCATTACAGTTAAGCTGGGATTAGAGATGTAAAGATGACTTGATGGATGTTAGGGTGAGCAAAAAGTCTGACACATCATAATTTTCAGATCAGCATCTGTGAGTATAGGAGGGCGAGGGAGAGGTAATGGTCATTACCATTTCTGAAAGGCAGCTCCGGGAATGAGTTTTGTTGAGTGGTTGCTCCTGTCTTTCTCATAAGAGCTCTTACCAATCAGTCACAGGAATCAAAAAAACCTTGACAAGACAGCAGAAAAGATGGGCCTTCCATCAGATCTCCCCTTCTACCCCTTGGGTTTCCCCTGATATCAAGCAAAGAGATTAACTAAAATTTCACTGAGTGTATTGTCCTGTGGCAGGTTGGAGCTTTCATCTTAAATGTTTGTTCAGTCTGGACACAAATAATCAAGAGAGAGGCACTGTGTTTGACCGAAGAAAATAATTACTTGAAAAGAGTGGTATGATTGGTACTTCTTGGGAATGAAACTTATCCAGCAGGGACGTTGGAGATCACCTTCACAAACACCCTGAGTTTATATACAGTCCAAGTAAGATTCAGACAAGATATACTTTACTCTCTCATTGCAGAGATATGGGCACGACTGAGACAAAAATCGAGGTGACTTTGTTGGCAGTACTGTTTACTATTAAGTACTGCTCCTATTAAGAGGGCTTATCTACTCTTTAAGGGCTCTGGTAGCGTAGTGGTTACGAATCAGGCTGTGAACCACAAGGTCAGCAGTTTGAAACTACCAGCGGTTCCGTGGGAGAAAGATGAGGCTTTCTGCTCCTGTAAAGATTTACAGCCTCGGAACCCCTGTACAGGGTCGTTATGGGTCAAAACCAACTCGATGGCACTCAACAACAGCAACAACATCTACGCTTTAAAGCAGTTACTTTGCACAAAGAACAATGTTTGTTTTATATAAAAATGACCCGTTTTTCTCAGGAGGAGAATGGTGTTATGTCCATTCCTTTAATGAGATTGCATTCTCAAGTTCTGAGCTGATTCATAGTTTCAAAATATAACCTAGTTATAGTTATTGTATCCATCAAAAAATAGAAACGCTTTGTTACATACTATATCCTTTGCAGGATTCTGTTCTGATGGTAACACCACTATCTAGATTCTCATCTTAGAATTTGTCTGTAGCTACACTGTTCATAATGTTGGGTAAGTAACTCATTTCCACATCTGGAACTACAGAGACTGGACTTAATGTCTCTAAAACAGTCATCCTCAACTCTGTCTATCCATCCAGTACATTATGTGGTTCCTAAATGTGCATGTCCTGGTCCCACCCTGTTCCTCTGGTGAAAAACTCTAGTCTAGTTTTTTTTTATTTTAGAAAGTTTTTATTATGAATTGATTGAAGGTTGACACAGAAGCTCATCAGTCTTATTTATACTCAGCAAATCATATACTTTGGTTTATCTCAGTGATTACAATCCCCTCCATGTAACAGCATTTATTCCACCATTTCTTACCTGTGGTTCTTTCTTCCGTTCCAGGCTCCTTCCCAAACCTTCTAAATTTTGTCTTTGGTAAATGTTTTCTTTTTGATCTTGAATTGACCACTCCATGGTGAACATACCTTAACTAGTGTTTTGATCCCCCTATATATTTGCACCCTGCTATGGAGTCCTGGTGTGGCGCTGTGGGCTAATGTGTCAGACTGCAAAGTTGTTTGAACTGCAAGGTCAGTGGTTCAAGCTCACCAGCTGCTCTTTGGAAATCCTATACAGGGTCGCTATGGGTTGGAATCGACTCGATAGCACTTAACAACAACAACAACAACAACAACATGGAGTTATGGTTTGGCATACTGTACGATAATCACTAGACTGCAAGGTCAGTTTGAACCAAAAGGTCGGCAGTTTGAACTCACCAGCTGCTCCTCGGAAAACCTATGAGTTGGAATCAACTCGAAGGCACTTAACAACAACATATACGTTTCTGCTGCTTGGCTGAAGATTGGGCCAGGAGAGGGAGCCAGACCTGAAGGAACACTCTAGTTGCAGGATTGTATATACAACAGCATGTAGCTCTATTCCCTTTAACCCTTGCATTCCTCCTTTGTCTTCATCATTCCTTTGCCAGCCTTTCTCATGGTATACTGCCTTCCCCCACCAACTAAGTCAATTCGTAACTACACCCTCTAATTAGTGAATTATTCTCCCTTCCCTCATACTCCTGATAACCTTCAAAGAATGTTTCTTTCAGCATGAAAACTTTTTCTTGACTTTTCACAATAGTGTTCTCATAAAATATTTGCCAATTTATAATTGACTAACTTCACTCAGCCTAATGTCCTCCAGGTTCATCCATGTTATGGGGTGTTTAGCAGATTAATCTGTATTGTTCAATGTTGCATAGTACATACATACCATTGTGTGTATGTACCAAAGATTGTGTATCCATTCTTCCATTGATGGGCATTTAGGCTGTCTCCATCTTTTTGCTATTGTAAATAGTGCTGCAATGGATGTGTCATGGGTCTTATTACCTGAAGATATTTACCAAGTAGAGGTGTTGCTGGATCATTTGTTATCGTTGCATTATTGTAAGTGCTATTGAGTTGCTGTTTACAACTTTTTAAGGAAGCGCCATACTGGTTTTCCTCAGTGGTTGCACCATTTTACAGTCCCAGCAATGTAGGAGGCTCCCAGTCTCTGTACATCCTCCCCTCTACATTCTGTTTTGAATTTTGCTGTTAATGCTGGGATGAGATGGTATCTCATTATTGATTTGATTTGCATCTCTCTAGTGACTAATGATTGCAAACATTTTTTCATATGTTTGTTGGCCACCTGAATATCTTCTTTCATGAAGTATCTGCTCATGTCCTCTGCCTATTTTTAAAATGGATAATTTGTGTTTCTCTTGTACAAGTGTTGAACTTTTCTCCTGGCATATTTTATGAAAGTTCCCAGATGTTTTTATATGCATCTAGGATGTGGCGTTGTGGGTTAATGTGCTGGACTGCAAGGTTAGTGGTTCAAGCTTACCAGTCGCTCCTCAGAAATCCTCTACAGATCGCTACTGATCAGAACCAACTCGACGTCACTGCAGAACAATAACAGGATTAATAACAAATTGCAGTAAAATATAACTGTTCCCTCTGCCTCTCAACATTTTAAGTTTTCCTGAAGAAGCAGCCTAACCCATCAGTTGAGTGTACACTTTGGAGTCACTTTGTTTAAATAAAACATCCAGCCATGCCCTGAACCACGTGGTAACTGTGGTGACATACTTAATCTCGCCAAGCACCTTGTCATCAACTTTAAGATGGGGATAATTATAGTACCTGCCCCATAAGGGAAGTTGTAAGGAGACATGAAATAAAGCATGTCAGGTGCTTAGCACAGAATAAAGCGATTCAATCAATGTTTTCGCTTCTTGACTTTTATCTCCTTTTCTCAACTTCTTCCTTCTTCATATAATTATTAGAAGTAATAGTAGTGATTATCCTCCATAAATGGCAGTGCCTGTAGTGATGGAAATGTTCCGCTCAGCTGTACGATACTGACGTCACTAACCACTTGTGGCTGTTAAGCGTTGGAAATATGACTAATGTGACTGAGGAACTGTATTTTAAATTTTATTTAATTTTGATTTATTTAAGCTTTAATAGCCATGGGTGGCTAATGGCCATATATTGGACAGTTGTTGTTGTTCAGTGCTGTTGAGTCGGTTCCGACTCATAGCGACCCTGTATAGGGTTTCCAAGGAGCAGCTGGTGAGCTTGAACTTACCGATCTTGTAATTCAAACCGACCTTGCAGCCCAGTGCATTAGCCCACAGCACCACATCAGGACTCCATAGTGTACAGTACAGCTCAACAATTCCAACCTCACAGGTTTAGAGCTGTATCCTAAACAGGTTGTTTTCCACTTTCCTGCTGCTTACTGTTCCATCATCAAGAATTATATCTAAATGATTTTGATCTACTGTATATCATCCAAATTAAGGCCCTGAATTTACATCCTTTATTTTTATAATGAAATTTAGTTTTATTTCTTGGGTTTAGATTGATTTTTATAACCTCTGTCAGTTTTTCCTGTTTCACAGTTTGAGTAAATTTAATTTAACAATCAAGAAACTATATCAGGCAATGTGCTATGTCAATAGCATGCAAAGAGAAATGAGTCATTGTCCCATCCTGAAATACCTAACATTCTTGCAGTAAATGCAATATCACTGTTTGTGATAGAAAGATCACTCAACTAAGAGTCAAGAATCTAAGTTTTATGCATTGATTCTGTCTCTACTTAGAAGGTAACCTTGGGCAAGCCATTTAACGTTTCCAAACCTTTTAAATTGACACAGACAGAAACTAACCATTTTACTGACCGTAGAGACCTTAAGATGGTTCTTATCTACTGGTAGTTACTATTCTACTCGTGCATGTTAGAGAGGAGTATGCTAAACTGAATAACAATAATGTAAACTATGGCACCAACCATTTCTCCCACAGAACTGGGTTCGATCATTCATTATAGTAATCACACACAATTAAAAGACACTATTCACAGTTATGGAGTTTACTAGGGAAGTTGTTGTTGTAAAATGCCATCACATTAGTTCCAACTCATAGCAACCCTATAAAGGGTTTCTGAGGAGCAGCTGGTGAGTTTGAACCAATAACCTTGCAGTTCAAACCAACTTTGTAGTCCTAGTGCTTATCCTACAGCAGGCCCACACTAGGACTCCATGGAGTTAATTTATTAGGGAAGTTGTTGTTGTTAGGTGCCATCAAGTCGGTACTGACTCATAGTGACCCTATGTACATCAGAATGAAACACCGCCTGCTCCTGGCCACCTCACCATTGTTGCCATGCTTGAGCCCATTGATGCTGCCACTTTGCCAATCCATCTCGCTGGGAATCTTCGTCTGTTTCTCTAACCTGAAGTTAGCAGGTTACAAATTGGGGTC